TGAACAATTGCAACATAGTTGTTCATATAAATATTGTCACATTGTTAACTTTTATAACATATGTGACACACATATTTTAGCATATTAAGTGGAACTAATTACTTAATGAACACCCCTCGTGCTCCCTCTGTACCTCATACACACACACTCTCTCCTACTCCGACGACTATCTGCAAAGATTTTTTCCGCTTGTTAGTTGCGTGGCGGCGTTTCATGCGCTAATAGTTAACAGCAGCAGCAGCTGCAGCAGCAGCAACAACAATGACAGCCATAGCCATAGCCTTAGCCACAGCCATAAAACAAACAACAGTTGATCAACATTTATGGGTTCGCTACTGCTATCGCTGTCTCTCTTCTTCTAGTTGTATTGCTATTGCTACTGGTGCAACTCCAGCGCCGCCAACCTTGGCAAAAATGCTGCGCTGGCTGCTGCGTTGGCGTTGACTACGCGCTGCTGCTGCTGCTGCTGGCTGTTGTTGTTGCTATAACACCAGGGCTTTATCAAGTACAGCTACGTTTGGCCCTGGGGCCAGCGTTGGCTGCTGTCGCTGCTTAGGTAGGGGGCGTCAAGCAACGCATGGCTCATAAATTTCGTGCTGCTTTGCAATATGAAATATTTGCAGCATAATTGAATTAAGTCTGTGTGTCTGTGTCTCTATGTGTATATGTGTGTGCGTTGCGCTGTAAATTTTTAATTTATGCTCATAAATAATCAAGCTATATTCATTTGAGAGACATCAAACAGACAAAAGTTGAAGCAAAGAAAAGTAAAACAGAATTTTCTCTGTGTGCGCATTACTAATGTTAATGAGACTCTGTTAAGTAACTATTTTTAAACTCTAAGAGCATATTAACATACATAATGAAGTAAGTCATGTGAATTGCAAATGGAAAGTCGCTTTGACATTGCATCCACATTTACATATACAAGAAGTTTTTGGTAATTTAGGAAGTCCTCATATATTTTTATATCTAACGTTGGGTTATGATCGGGAATGTTTAAGAAATTACAGCTGTTAAGCACATTTCCGCATTTTATTCTTACAACGCCAAGTTAAAGGTCAAGAAAGCTAATTCAAAATCAAATTTTAACTTGCTTATGTTAGGCTTTATGTTAAACATAATCACCTATGTTAACTTAACATGCTTACAAATTCCTTGACACGCTCGCATAGCAAGTCTGAGAACACAATGTAAGTGTCATAGCTGTTAACGTTAGCCTCTCTGTGAAAGACAACACAACAACAAGAACAACAGCCGGCAACGTGTCTGTAAGAAGAAAAAAATTATGTGGCAATAAAAAAATGTTGTCTTTTGTGTGCACTCCACATTAACCACGTTTATACATTTCAATTTAATTTTTTTTTCATTTGTGAAACTTTTTTGTATGCTAAAAATAGAAACTAAAAGAGCGGTTTAAAACTTCAAAAGAACTCGAGCTTTGGTGATCATTAAAGTAGTGAGAGAGGGAGCAGCAGCAGGCGGGTAGCTTGAGTGAAGTTCTCAAGTAACAAAGTGGCTGCTAGCTGAAAATGCTGCGTAATCATTTTTCGGAAGCAAATGGACAGCAAAAACAAAGATTCAAGGAGGGAGAGGGAACAAGGGGTGGGGGAGTGGTTAAAAAGTAAGTCGAGTAAAAGCTGTACAAATAAACGAAGGCGGCAACGTCAGCTGTAGATAAAAACCGTTCCATGAGTGTGCGTGTGTCTGTGCGAGTGGCAGACATAGCAAACAGTAAGAGCAACAACAAGAATAGCTTAAAAGAAATAAGGCCAATGATGCTTGTAATTGTAGCCAAAGCAGACGTCAACTTGACAACGCATTTGTTGCTGGGTGTTGCGATTGCGGGCGTGCAGCTAAGGCCAAGCAAAACTCCCAAGGCAATACCACATTATAAGTATGAGAGAGACCTATGCAAAAGCACAAATGAACCCAAGTATAAGACAAAAAAGAAAAAATGTGCAATGTGCGAGCTTTGAAAGTGATTAACGTTTTATGTGAGAGCCTCTGGCAGTTGTTGATGATTATGATGATGATGATGATGGCCTTCTCAACGAGAAGTCAATCAAGCAGCAACAACTAGACAAGGCACAGAGAGAAGTGAAACAAAAAGAAAAACAAAAAAGGACGAGAAGCTCCGCCTGCTGCAACGGTAAAGTGCAAACAGTGCTGGCGCCGTAGCCAACAAAAGGCTAGTTTAGAGCTACTAAAAATTTATACCTTAGATTTCTTACATTACTTAATCATAAAATTAAGTAAAAGTACCTCAAATTGATTGTTAACTATCTATGACATACTTCAGCAAAATTAAAGAGTCAAAGATTTTGTAAAGAAAAAATAAATCTGCCATTAATCAAAACAAGCCAGCTAGATTTAGCGTGTATAAAAGTCAATCGGACAACTCTAACAGCAAATTCTACTCCTTCCTCTCAATAGCTTCAAGCTTTTGAATGTTAACGTAAATTGTTTTCTCGCCTTTCAATTCTGTTTCTTTTCCTTCTCTTTTTTTTAATAACACGCCAAGAGCAATCAATAAATTAATAATTTTTGAAATGCCATGAGCAATTTGGCTAATACCCTAACTTTCAACTACATACGAAAATTCAATATTAACAAAGTTATCGAATTTCCTTTTTATGTGAAAAGTACCAAATGTCAGTTTCGAAACAGTATTGAAAAAGCTGCTACAGTTGGACTGTGGGGAAATTTAGAGAGCATCCAGTTGCTCACATCTGCTCACTCTGTGCTGCTGTAGCAGTTACTGTTATTGCAGGTGCCATGTACTAGTCTCTCTCTGTGCATGTGTATGTAGTTTTAGTGCCTGACTCTGGGGGGAATTTTCGCGCTTTTGATAGCTTTCTCTTGTACAACTTTGGACATTGCAACAACGATCGGGGCACATTAAATGTGGCTAGTTATCTGCTTGTGGTCAGTGCGCCATGGCCCACTTTATAGCTTCATTTGGTCAGAAAACAGCATTAGCAAGCAGCAGCAGCAGCAACAGCAACTGGAGAAACAGGCAGAGTGGCAATCTGGTGAGGCAGGCAATTAAGTACTTCGGACTAACTTGCTAGGTATATTCAAAAAATTTCCATACACTAGCAAAATTTCTGCCTAACAGTTATTATTGATATTAGGAATTATTTGTAAATTTCTATTAAATGTGGGCGTAATCTAAATCTTATATAACTTTCTAATTGGCAACCAGGTTCACTTATTTTTGGTAAATTCTATATCCAATTAAACTTATTGGGAAATTTACAATATATGCGAAATTTACTTTTAATATGCAGCAGACTTCAATATGTTGGCAATCATATTTTAATAGGTTTTTAACCTGAGTTTTCTTTGCTTCTCAGTATTTTTCTGAGTGTAGCTGCAATAATTCGCAATGCAATCAGCACTTCCAGAACTTGCAAGGGCTCCCACAATGCCAACCCGCGCCACTCCTTTAATACGGCTCGCTCAGGTGGCCTAGCGATGAGGGATGAGCACTTAACATTAATTACAGCACAAAAAGCGGCCTTAATGCATTTGGTGCCACTGTGCGCTGGCCAGTTGGTTGAGTTGATAAAAGGCAAAATGGAGAAGAAAAAAGCAAACAAACACATTTGCAATGTCCCCCAAACGACGATAAAAGCGACTGCAAATGGGTGCAGAGCAGATAAAAGAAAAACCTGCGTCAAGCAAAACACTCACAAACACACGCACACAGACACACACAAACTTAGGCGAAAAGCCAACAAAAAGTGGAATTGCAACCGCCTGAATTAGAGATGAGCATATGGCTGCATAGAGGGGGAGAAGAGAGCAGCCGCGAACCGGTTTAATTGAGCGACCTCCAATCAGAATCAAGTTCAAGACTATATAAAAGCCAATAAACGCACTCGAAAAGAGATTAGCAATAAAAATTAACTAAAACAAAAAAGTAAGAGAAAGAATTGGGCAACTTTGTTTTATTTATACCTTAAACGCTTCGCAGTCGGCGTCGCTGTTGGTGCCAGTGGCAGGGGAAATTCCTGTGAAGCACACGAAAATTTTAGAACTTTTACAGCAGCAGCAGGAGCGTGTAATAAAATGTGCACGCGATTTGCCCGGTTTATTTACGCGCTGCAATTGGATGCAGCAACGCGCCTGACGCACTTTCTTACAACTACAGCTACAAACAATTGTATGTGTGTGCGTGTGTAGTAATTCTTTTCATGCTTGTTTTGTGTAGTAGGTATCAAGTGCCTGCGCACTTAGACACACACGCACCCAATAATAGCGGTGTTTATGTATGTATGTGCGTGTGGTCACTTTGCCTGTTTTCTTTAATTAGTTGTAAAATATTCACTATGAGATATTTAATTTTTCAAAATTTTTATTTAACTCACTTTGTAACACTTTCAATTTTAATAAATTATTTTTGTTTTTTTTTAAATTTTTTTTATAAACAAACGCGCTGCTGTGGTTGCGCCGGCACTACTGTCTTTTGTATGCGTAAGTTGTATTTAAATTACTTTTGTGGTTACTTTTTGTGTGTACACGTCGTACGCGTCGTATTGCAACAAAAACGTTTAATTTGTTTTTTTATTTATTAAATACATACAAAACAGACCACGCCACGCGTCCGCTCGGTTTGTTGAATCAGAAAAGAATGAGTGAAAACCCCAAATAATTATCGATATATCGATAGAGCATCTCTATGTTGGTACAATTTTGTTGCCAGTGATGCAGCCCTAGTGTTTGGCTCTTAGGAACATGTGGCCAGTTGTGTGTATGGAAGAGTGCTAGCAGTGCGGGCACGGGGCGCCGTACTTAGTGTTGCTATACATTTAGAGATGGTGGAGCCCATTCGATATTTTGCTTATTCGTTTACTGACAACATAGCACTAATCAATGTGAATCATAATGAAATAACTTAGATCTTAAAATAGACAAATGCATTTATGTTTTGGTATTTATTAAATTATATTTCGTTAAGCCTCTCAGAAGTTACCGATACTTAAGCACTGAGTTCAAAAGCGCGTCTTTTGACGCAAAGAAGAGCCAAGCAGTCTGTTACGAAATATCGATAATATATCGACATGTAGTTATGGCGGGCTTTTTAAAACGTTCGCTTATGGCAAATATAAGTTTTATTATCCCATTAAATATTTAGTTTTAAAAGGAAAAACATAGTTGTAACTAATTTAGCATTTATTTATTAATAAAATTTCACTGAAACACGATCAAAACTATATTTGACTCTGCTTATATGCCCAATTTCAACTGGCAAATCAGGCCTACTAGAATCGATTTAGTTTTTTTCATTAAAATATTATATTTAAAATATTATTTCTGTAATGCACTGAGCATTTGCTATAGGACGTACTCGTATCATATGCTTAAAAACGAATTGTACATAATAATAATAAAAAGCGCTTGGGAAAATTTTGCTTAAGTTTTCTTCTTTTTTTACAATATTTTTCGATGTGGCCGCCGACATATAACGGTACGTCTTTAATTTATCAAAATTATTTTACATGACAAAATAAAATTGAAAATAAATTCGCGAACTGAACAACACACAAAACAATGAATTTAGCTGCACTAAAAAAATGAAACATTATTTTGCGAATTCTACAAAAAAAAATAAGAATTAAAACAAATTTAAATTAAATTAGATATATATGTATATATCTAGACATATAAGACCATTTACTTTGGCGATCGCGCTTGATTTATCTTCAATTTCTCCTCCTTGGTAAATTCCAAAATGCTCTCAATTGCCTGGAGATGGCCCTGCGAGTTTTCCTTGTCCGTTAGAAAATAGAAAATGGCGCTTTTCAGGAATTGCAGCGTTACCTCCGGATCGACGTGGGTGCGATTCTTTTGCGCCTCCAACAGACGCCGATAGATCGTCTATATAGAGTATTGAGTTAGTCGGTGTGTGTGCGAGAGAGAGATAGAGAGAGAGAGAGTGCGATAAGAAACGTTCTGTATTAGTAAACATATAATAGCTTAGGCAAACATATATCAAAAGTGAGGTTAGGTTTGAAAACAAAATAATTGTTTATAATATTTACATAAAGTTGATTCATCGGTGCTGTATATAGATATATATATATGTATATATGTATATATGATATGATATATGAACATTTAACATTGAATATATTTGACGCAGGAATCTGGGTCGGGTGGGAAATGTATATAGAATTTGTCTATGGGAAATATAGTTTATATGAGAAATACATGCTAAATATGTTAAATAATGGATATATCTCTGGGTTTTTTATTTTATAGCTATACTTCAGTAAAAGTTGCTCAAGAGCAACGAAATAGCCAACAACTAGCTTTTTTACTATGCTAAATTATATTATAAATATATATAAACGAGGGTAGTCAGAAAGAGTACTAATGATAAGAAAAGTTTATTTCATTTTGATTTTAATTTTAATAATTTGTAGCTGAGTTTTTTCGTTACATTTTTATTGACTTTTGCTTTCTTCCTTTTTAACTAATTTATTATTATATTTTAATATATAATGTATCAATTTATAGACCACCCTCGCATATACATATAACTATTATAGATTATATATATACATATGAAGAGAACATACCTCTAGTTACCACTAAAGTTCTTTGAAGTTAGTGCAACAATAACAAATTACAGAGCTCCACAGTTCCAGTGGAAACAAGCTGAATGAAAAGTGTCCAGTGGAAACAAGTGCACACTCTTAATTGCAATGGAAACAAACTGAATTGGGCCTTAACAGCAGAATAGAAAACAAGCTGAACTGCAGCCGAAAAGTGGGAACATGCTGAATTCAGCTGTTCCAGTGGAAATGTGCTAAGCTGCTTAGGTTAAGTGGAAACAAAAGCTGAATAGAAGTAGAAGTCATTCTACAATGTTTGCAGTGGAAACAAGTTGACGCAGCTGCATTGCGTGTTTCATTCCACGCATTCCATTACCTTCTACCACACATGATGAAATGTCGCAAATGTGAATGAGGTTAGGTTTAACATGAATAGCCAAAATATGTTCCATTAGCCAATGATCAGAAAATGAGGATGAAAATGAAAATAAAATAAAAGATTTGTTTTTTTTTTAATTTTTGCAAATAAATTAAAGAAACTAATTGGGTTTTCGGGTACAAATTGTTAGGGAAAGGATATTATTTGTTGTTGTTGTTGTTTTGTTTAGGAATATTACAAACCTTACGCGCGCCAAGTACCCACAATGAAATGGCCTCCTTTGCCGTAAGGAGAGCATGATTACTGCCGCATTCCCTCATTCTACACTCTGATGCCTACAAAAATAGTTTCGATTTCGTTTTTCGAATTTGATTTCGATTTCGATTTCAATTTTTGTTTTGATTATACGACAATATATAGATAGATATAGAGAGTTAAATTAAATATTTTTAACATTTTTCAGAGATTAACGTTATATGTATAAAGAGATAGAGACATAGAGAGAGAGAGAGAAGATATAACTGTAAACATGCATAGGAAATAAAAGTAAAATTCGAAACTAAAGACTTTTTGCGGCAACTGTACTTCATGCACTTTTCCTCTACGTTGTGACTGTACTTTCTCGCTCTACTTGAACACGCAACGGAACGGAATGGAATTAGATGAAACAAGCGCAACAAATCAAAGAAACACAAAAACATTGCTGTGATTGAAACAAAAACAAATGTTGCTCATTTAATGTTTCGACTTGAATATTGCAAGAAAGATGTAATTAATTCAATAATTATGTTACTTAAACTAAAATGTCCTTTAATTAACTAGATTAATTCAGGAAATGTCGACGCGCATCTCAATTAAATGCAGCTTTTCCAGCCAGGCAAAGCGCCAAATTGAAATGGAACGCGTCCTCAAATGTTTTTCAAATGTTGTGTGTTTGAAGCTGTTTGTTGAATGTGTGTTGTTGTTCTTGTTGTTGTTGTTCTTGTTGTTGTTGTTGTATGTTGAATGTGGCATATGTTGTATGAGTCGCTCAGTTCACGATGCAACAAAATGCAACACACAAAACAAAACCGAAAATAATATTAAAAATATATTGAAGAATCTTACGCGTATATTCTCCAGCTCATCCTGCGTGCTCTGCAGCTGGTGCAGCAGCTCGTTAATCGACACCTTGCTATCGGGCTGCCGCTGTGCCAGATCCATCGCCTGCAAAACAGTGGAATGGAACATTAGAATATCGCCATTTAAATTGCTATTGACTAACGTTCACATAAAATTGTTTGATACCAAAATTTCCGCATATTTCACTACTAACTTGTGGGGAAATTAAAATGTTGCCCAATATTTCTTATATTAATTCACAAAAACTTAAATTTCCCCATATTCTAATTGACATCTTGCAAATTCCCTATATTTACCACAATTCAAAATTTCCATATATTTAAAATATCTTTCAAAATTCCCTTTACTCCAACATTGCTTTAAAATTTCCCTATATTTGAATGTAGCTGAGGAACTTTGTCATACTCCTCACATTTACAACATTTCCCTATATGCTACTGAACTTCATTTCAGTATTTCCCTATATTTACTGTACCTGATCGGCGCGCGAAATGCGCTCCGCCTCCTGTCCCTGCTGATACATGTGCAGATACATTTTGTTCTGCTTCTCCTCGTGCTCGATCAGCTTGCGCTGCAGATCCTCGAGCTGCTTCTCCAGCTCGCGGATGCGCTGCTTGGCATGCTCGTAGTCCGGGACAATGTCCGAGTACCGCGTGTTGCATTCGGCCAGCTTCTGCAGCAGCGCCTCGACCTTGTCGTTGTGTGAGCGCTTCAGGTCGCTCGTGGCACCGTCCTGGGTGCGTATCAGCTCCTCGATGCGGTGCTCGTACATGCGTATCAGCTCCTGCCGCTGCAGTTCATAGTTCTCCAAGTGGCTGGCCGCTGCCTCCGCCTCTGCCGCCGCTTCCGCCTCCGCCTCGGCCGCCGTCTCATCGGGCGTATCGCACTGCGTTTGCGAATCCTTCGAGTGCACTGACGACATGGTCAGATCCTCGAAGTGCCCCGAATCAGCATACGAGCTCTGCATCTCAGCGGACATTTGCATCGCTTGCAACTGCTGATGCTGGCGCGCCAGATGACGTGGACTGCACTTGGCCTCATCCACCATGTCCACAATGGGCGAGACGTCCTGAGATGTCTTCAGCTCGGCTTCGCGCACAGTTACCGCATCCGAGGAGGCGGAACGCTCCTCGGGCGAACTGAGCGATGCCTTGAAGAGGCGCAGCTCTACCACCTCGCGCGTCAAGCGCAGGATTTCCGTATCCTTCGCCTCCAGATCCTGGCGTGCTATGCTCAACAGCTCCTTGAGCCGGCGTATCTGACGCTGCGCTCGCTGCGTGGGCGTCAGGTAATCAGCGCCCACTTGGCCCGCATAGTTCGAACAGTGCACCACGTACTTCATTTTGCGTCCACTGAACGTGGTGCCATTTCTACAAAGTAAAAGGGAAATTATGACTAAATTCGCATATTGAAACAGGCAATATTTATAAGTTTGTTCTTGCTCCTCTAAAAATAAATTCCCAATATTTTGAGAATTCCCAATATTCTAGGACATCTCTGCAATAATTTACCCATATTCAAATTTTACTATATCATAAAAAATTCCCATTTATTTTACTTCACTTTATTTACCTGTATTTTAGGTATAGGTTTATATTTTAATAGGTTAGGTTATATTTTAATAAGTTAGAGCTCAAAGCTAGCCATTATTAAGGAATATTTTAACTCCGAGTTTCCTAAAATTCTACCCGCATTTAATGTAATTTCCCTTCAAAATTTCCCAAAGTATTATGTACTTCTGTGCTATATACTTATCGTTTCTATATCTCTCTATTTATCTATTGTTAGTAACCTAATTCTCAAAATTACCCAAAATTAGATCAAATAATTTTCCCATTTTTATTTTCCTTATAAATTATTGCCAGCTTATGCCATGTCTCACCTGGCCACATAGGGATGCTCGCAGGACATGGTCGAGCGACCCGATGTGGTGGTCGCAAACGAATACATCGAGTCTAGATCATCATCCAGATAGGTGCTAGGCGAATCCGGTGTCACTGGCGGAGTCTTTGGCGAGATCTTGGTCTCGTGAACTGTGGAGAGCTTTCCAGTTGACGCCGATCCAGTTGCAGTTGCAGTTGCAGTTGCTGGCAATGTGTCGTATTTTCTGTTGAGGCTCTTGGCCGAGCGGCTGCAATGATTGTGATTGGCTGACGGAGCTCCGTTGAGCGGCGTTTGCGGCGTCTTTGGCGTGGACGTTGACGTGGACGTGACCGCTGCGTTGCCTGCTGTCTCAGCACTGCCGCCGTTCAGCTTTAAAGACTGCAAATGGAAATAGTTGTGGAAGTTACAAACTGCTTAATTTTGCTTTCGCTGCTTTTGCTAATCGCTCGCTGCGGTTGTTCCAAGCCAAATCTCTCAATTGAATGCTCACTCGTGCATAGTTCGCGAAAAAGCGCGTAAAAAAGATCGCGTGAAGCTGGCCGCGAGGCAGCCATGGAGCTGCAGCTAGAGCTAGAGTTACCGTAACGCCCCAAAACCAATTTGCTGTTGTACATTATACAAAACACTTTAAACACCCGTCGCTTTTTCGCTTACTTTCATTGTGGCATTCCTTCCATTCCGAAACAACAAAAACTAAAACAGAGACATCAGCCGCTACCCTGCAACATTTTTGTGGTCAATTAGCTGCCTATTCGCGCGATAGAGTGGCGTCTTGACTTGATTATATATAGACTCTATGCACATATATATATATATAAAGCTAAAACAATTTCCCACTGTTCCGTTTCCTTCTTCTAGGCCATTGTGGTTTGGTTTGGGGAAATGGCAAAACTTTACTTTGGCTCTATGGAAGCAGCCTGAGATAATGGTACAAATTATATGCAATTACAAGTACAAATTATGTGCACTGAGTTCAATCCATACAAAATGTGTCATCAAAGGTACACATTAAATGACTTAGGTACATATGAAATGGTTTGGGTACATCTGGGATGGCTTAGGTACATTTAAAACGACTTAGGTACATATGAAATGTGTAAGGTACACATTTAAAATGAATTGGGTACATATGAAATGGTTTGGGTACATATGGGATGGCTTAGGTACATTTAAAATGAATTAGGTACATATGATATGGGATAGGTACATATGGGATGGCTTAGGTATATTTAAAATGACTTAGGTACATATGAAATGTGTTAGGTACACATTTAAAATGAATTGGGTACATATGAAATGGTTTGGGCACATATGGGATGGCTTAGGTACATTTAAAATGAATTAGGTACATATGATATGGGATAGGTACATATGGGATGGCTTAGGTACATTTAAAATGACTTAGGTACATATGGGTTAATTACACATGGGATGGCTTAGGTACATCTAAAATGACTTAGGTACATATAAAATGTGTTAGGTACTCATTTAAAATGAATTGGGTACATATGAAATGGGTTAGGTACACATTTAAAATGAATTGGGTACATATGAAATGGGTTAGGTACATATGGGATGGCTTAGGTACATTTAAAATGAGTTAGGTACATATAAAATGTGTTAGGTACATATGGGATGGCTTAGGTTCATTTAAAATGACTTAGGTAGTGCATAGAACAGTTCCTCTATTTAGCACAATCACGCCATTTGAGTATGTCCCTTAAAAAAGGTACATTTCAAAAGTTTAATATGCTTTATGCACATAAAAAATATATTTTATGTCTTAAATTATCCATGAGCGTGATCAATGTACAAGTCTTTGCAAGCTTTCATAAAGTTTCTACCAAAAGGATAACAAGCAATATACCAAAATGAGGTACATTCAAAAAGCCCTTTTGGATGCCTATTATTAAGTTAATCTCTTTGATCCTAATGGCTAAAACAATGTACCACAAAATATGTAGCTCTAAATAATTAGGTACATCTTAATAAATGTCAAAATTTACAATTTATAAATGATACAAATGATATTTAATGACTTCAGTTAATAGAGAACTGTACCAAGAATAGGTACATTTTAATTAGCTAGGTACATATTCCTACATCGTAGCAATCAGTTTTAATTAGGCGCATTCAAACGATACTCTTAGATTTCACTTGGCAGGGCAATGTACCAAAAAGGTACATGACAAATGTCTGAGGTACCTGTGATTTATTACAACAAAGCTGCTTTCAAGCGTAAGTCAGCTTAAGTTAATCATATTACGTGCATGCAAACTACGATGATGTAATGCAGAAAATAAAAAGTTTTTCTGTTTCCAGAGCCAGCTTTAAAGAGGCAATAGAAGGAGACAGAAGGTGAAAGAGGGAGAGAGAAGGAAATAAAAACGCTTCACTTGGCAGTTTGTGACTGGCCCAAATAGTGAATTGAAATGTGATTTAGAATTGAGTGTCGCCTTCGCCAGCTGCTGAGACAGACACTGGGCCAACTTGTCATTGGGCTTTTTCAGCGATTGTCAGCGATAATGGCCAACTGCAACTGCAACCACTAGAAAGTGGCTTGCAAATCGGGTTAGACAAAGTTAGAAAGGGAGGTACAGCGCACACAACACGTACCTCATGCATATTTCATAATCATCATTAATGAGTTTCTTGCCCTATTTTAATTGTTCCACTACTGGGAAATGCTTCTGTGGCACTTCCACAAAAGATTCTCGCAATGAGTTTTACGCACGAGCTAACAGCACACAGCTGCTTTAATAACGCATAAAAAGACAAGATACACGAGAAAAAAAAGCAGCCCAGAGGTGTGAGTAGCTGGCAGCACACAGCGAGAAAAAATGCTGATTAAACTGCATTGAGATTGCCATTGACCAAAAGATACAAATGCGGCGGCAGAGGTCAGCTTAAATTCTGCGTAGCTTCAGATAGCAATGTAGATGCATGCATATGTAGATAAAGATACAGATACAGATAGGATAACGGATGCAGATACACACTGAGATGTAGATACTGAGAGAGACACAGATGAAGCTGCGGATACAGATACAGCTAAAGATTTAGATATATAAAGAGATAGATAAAGATACAGATACAAAAAATATAGATACAGTTACATACAGACATATACTAATACAGATACAGAAATATATATAGAAATATTGAGGGCCAGATATAGATAAAGATACAGCCGTAAACAGACAGATACAAAGCAATATTCATAACGGTACAGTTACTAATACAAAGACATAGATAGACAGAAAATATAGATGCAGATACAGATAGAGCACTGGAGAAATACAGAAAACACAAAAGCACTATATAAATAAATAAATAGAGAAAGAAAGTGATAGATGAAGTTATAGATATATTAAAGAGGATATGTATATGTAGGCACAAATACAACAGGATATAGAATTAAATCAATAGCTTTATAACTGAATTCAATTTCCAGTACAGATTTGTAAAAATTTATTGAGTATTTCTAAAATTGAAATTTGTAAACTATTAATTATTATAATATATGATGTACCCTGTACCCTGTCTCCCTGTTTTCTGCCAGTGTAGCAGCCCGTTCGTTAACTGGGCTAATGTTGTTATGTTATAAAAAAAAGTCCCAAATGTTACGCTTACGCACTTCATAACCGACATTCCCCCCCTCTGCAAACTCGTCTTACTATTCAATTAAAGGTCCACTACAGTCACGTCCCGACAATTCAACCTGGTCGTATATGGCCTGCATATCATTTTTCCCATTCTCTTTCTCTATCTCTTTCTTCTTTTTTAGAAAAATCGATGCTTTTGATTTGAGTGCTGCTCGTTGGGCTGAGGCTCAGGCAGGTGTGCGAAATATTTCAGCATTTGTGTCGCTGCAATTGCCACAATGGTCAAAATAACCCACTTGGCTAACTGCCAAGACATCGCTGTAGCTACATATATATGAATATATGTTATGTATGTTGTATATCTATAGCAATATGTATATATATATTCAATTTTGCGGCACTTTAATGGATGGCTTCATTTTTTTTTTATTTTTTTTGGCAAAGCCTTCAGGGTCGTCGGAGAAAGTGTCAAAGTATTTGAGGAACATTATGACATAAGCAGGTGTATTTAGGATCTCAAGGAAGAGTATATATAATGAAATATGATAAAAGCATCAATTTATATGATGATTGAAATTAGCTTGTAAGAATTGAAAATTTTATAAAAATTATAAATTAAGCACTTTATAATCAAAATGTCAAAGTTTTTATCAATAATGAAAAGCTTTAAATTTTAGATGCTGATTAAAGAGTTATTGATCATAAATTAACAGTTATAAAATTAAAAACTGACTACAAATCTTACAGGTTTCCTTCAAAATACATAAATAAAATTTAATTTCTACAAAAAAAAAAAAAATAATAATAATAAAAATTCTCAACATAAAAATGTTTATTTCCTTTTATATTATTTATATTATTTCATTTTATAGATCCCTCTGTTCAAATCAAATTTTTCTTAAAATTTCTTAAATTTATTTTAATATATTGAAATCCATGTAAGAAGCATGTCCTGGCACGCATATCCTGATATTATTACGCTGTACACACATTTTCCTTACGAAGCACTTTAAATATTTCCCTTTATTCATGCAAAGACACAAATTGAAGGCAAAGTTTTTTGTTTGCTTCAAATGCCTTTCAGATTATTAAATTATTTTTTGTTTGCTTCAACACATACGCGCATACATCGAAAATAGCAAATATCAATAATGATAATTTATGCAAAAGGGCCAACGAACTGCACTTATGGCCATATTTCTTAATAGCGCGCCTTTCATTTATTATTAACAATGGTAAGAAAACCTTTCCAACAGCTGCTGTCGCTAAATTACAACTACAAGAATAGACAGCGACGCACACCTATAAACATATATGTATATAAAAATAAACATAAACATAACGGCAAACACAGATACAACATACTTAAAGACATTCACACGAAAAGTCCGAAAAAGTTTGCTATTGAACAATAACAAAGCGAAAAGCGCGAAATGGAAATGAAAAGGGAAGAGCGACGAGCTTTTGCTTTTGCACGCGTTCGCGTTGAGCATAAAAAATCAACTGAAACCCAAATCGCATGGGTCAGCCCAAATAAAGAAGATGCCCGAAAAACCAAAAACAAAAAGAAAATAATTGAAGCCGAGAACATCAACAAACGAAAAGAAAACGAGCCCTCAAAGCGCGCAGCTGAGATTTCGAGAAGAGACGAAGTGAAAAGAGAGCGAGAGAGTGAGTAAGGGAGAGTGCTTGGTGGTTAGGTGGTTGAAAACACATGTGCACTATACGAGCTCGTCTTTATGTGTGTGTGCTCCTGTCAATATTTGCAAACGCTGCGCTGCGCCGCGCACTTGCATTTCCTTATGGGCCACCTAGCTCAGCTGTTTTTTTTATTTTGGGCATGAAACTAAGCGGAAATGGAATTGAAACAGCTGCTTAGCGGCCTTTTCCTTTTTGTTTCACATTGTTTATGCAAACGGGAACTAAACGAAACACAAAAACAATTACAAACAAGCAAGCGAGACTGCCAATCTACAAAAACTTAGAAAGCTACTGACACAATGCAATGGCTGCTCAACTGTCAGGCACAGTTTTAATGAGATTGTTGGCATATTAAATATGTGTGTAAAGGCAATTGATTATTAATTTAAGCACTTTAGAAATATACCATAATTAACTAGCCACAAAGTAATTGTAATTGAATCAATAATGCGCTAATTAATGTATTATATCTAGGTTGCATTATAAATACAATTTCTAAATAGTAATATATATGATATGATTATATGAAACGCTAGAGTCGTAGTATAATATGCTACGCATACTATGATATACTATACAATATTATAAAATACTATACGATCCTATACGAGATCTATAGTACACTATAAAAAAAAGCGCCTAAAGTACGGTGTTCATGTCACATGGTCTATATCTGTTTCTATATCTCATATATGAACCGTATAGGAACGAATATAAACTATTTTAGGTTTGAACTACTTAAAGTACAATTTGGTTTAATGATTCCCTTCAATTCCTTTGCCTCTTTACAATCCTTACCATTACATTTCATTACCAATATATATTATTTAAACTTGTTAAGTTCTCTTCAGATTTCCTTAAAGGGAAAGCTGTTATATATGTATAATCCCTATCTTATTAAGTAATCACAAATATATTCAATTAAAATCAACCACTTTGGACATTTTTAATAAGGAACAATAATAATCTATATCTATATATAAGAGTAAGGCACATATTGCGTCCAGTTGAAGTGCTTAGATTATTAATGTCTCAACAATGCCCATCGACCCGCTTTAAAGCACTTAATATGCAAATGCAGGGTTGTTGAGCATGCCACGCACAACCCACATAAGCAGGGTTGTCCTCACGTTTCGTAATGCACAACAACAAATTGTATACGAAAAGCGTTTGACGTTTGGCGTTGGTTACGTACGCAATTGTTGGGGGCGGGTTTTTTTTTTCATTTTCCCTTAAGTTGTGTCCAGGTTTTTGTACTTTCTGCGTTACATAGGTCAAGCAGCAGGAAATGCAGGTGGGCGGCGGGGTGACGAAAATAATCGATACCAAATGTGTGCCACCCACAACAGAAATAGATATGTACGAAAAGGAATTAGAGTACTTACCATATTACGCGACTTGGCTTCCATATCGGCGAGGAATTGCAGCTCAGTTGGCTGCTCGGTTAGGGCCAGGCATTGTGCATGAAACTCTGCTTCGTCCAGAAGGGAAGTGGCTGTCGCGCCTTTCGCTTTTGCTGTTTTACGTTGTCCCAAATTGCTCCAGCTGCGATAATGCGCGATTTTTGCAATTTTTCCGCCGAAGAACGTTTTGCTCCCGTCGCTTGTTGTGCTGCCGTTGAGATGAGCGCGCGTACTGTGGCTTACGCCGGCAGCAGCAGAGGCAGCAGAAGCGTCGCCTGCGCCTTTTGTGCTGCGCAAGCGCATGGAAGCGGAACGCAAAAATGGAACAACAACGGCGTCAGCAGCAGCGCTGCTCGCTTGCGGTATGCGTGTGGGTGCCGTTATTGCAGTAGGAGTTGTTGTAACTGCATGCGCTTTTGCTCTTCTTGTTGTTGGTGTATCTATTTCTGTTGCTGTTGTTGTCGTTGTTTTTGGCGTAGTTCTTGGTGTAACTACATCTACTGTTGTTGTTGTTGTTGTTGTTGTTGTTGTTGTTGGCGCAACAACTTCTGCTACTACGCTTGCTGTTGCTACTATTGTAGCTGCTGCAGTTGTTGTTGCTGTTTTTGTTGTTGTTGCTGGTGTAGCTGCTGCCACTGTCGCTGTTGCTATTGCTGGCTTTACGACTCCTTCAGCTGCAACTGTCACTGTTGGCTGCTCCTTTGGCTCCATTGGTGACGTTTCTGGAGGCAGCAACGACGTCATCACTGGACACTGCTTCTGTGTGGCTGCAAATGGAAAACAAAAAGTGAAATTATGAACCATGCAAATTAATGCAATTGCTGCTGCCGCTGCCGCTGCTGCTGATGCACTTTCAAAAACTTGAGCAACAATCTTAAATGCTTCATTATATTAAACACTCGCGCGTAATTAAAAACTTTCCATGGCTCGAAAACAAATTAATGAGCAAATATAGCCAATTGGCAACCCTCTAAGCAAACCTCTCCAGCTCCCGCCCTCTTCCACTCTCTATGCGGCATAGAAAGTGAAATTGGAGATGCACTTGCATGTTGCAGTCAGCTTTTGGCGGCAAATTATGAAATTCCCATTATTTTTTACTTGTCTGGTAGTTGTCTAAGCTAAGCCAAACAGATATATATATATATGCATGTATATATATATATATATATATATATATATATATATATATAACTATACAGCTATGCAGCTTTGTTCTAGTTACGTCAAAGCTCAAGGCCAACGGCTTGGCTTAGTCAAAACAGCTGTGCACACACATTTGCAGACACTGTACAAATTGCCTTTTGCATTTTTGGCCCCTGCCTATTGGGCCTACTGAATTGGAAAAATTACTTATCTACTTTTCTTTAAATTTAAAAAATGCTTAATTTATACTTAATGTTTTATGTAGATACTTTGAAAACTGATTTCTTCAACTCATTTTCGTTCACTTAACCCGAATTTGAGTGAAAACCCAAAGTTCATTTTAAAAACGAAAACTGTTCCAATTTTCTTTACACTTTTAGAGTTTCTTCTTTGTTAATTATAACATATTGAAATGCGATCTGTGTGGGAAACATTTGTCATACACTTAAAAAGAGCTTTGCGATATCTCAACATTTGTTGCAACATTCTATGGACACGAGATATTTGATATACGGCTTGAGACAGTATCAAGAAGAAGATAAAACTCCAATTCTGTAAAAAAAAAGGTTTTTAATCAACAAATACAACAAAAAATTGTGTGTATCGAATGTAACTTCATTATAAAGTTCAGGGTTCGAATCCCGAGTACTAAAGTTATAGAAAAATATAAACATTTTTGGAAATAAAGAATAGATAAAAGAAAGTATAAAAGTAAGTATATAAAGAAAGTATAAATAGAAACTAAATAAAAAGAATAGATAACAAAAAAAATAAAAATATATTAAAGATAATAGATAAGAGATAATAGCTAATAGGTAATTGATAATAGATAATGGATAATGAATAATGTATAATATATGATAATTAAAATATAATAGATAACAGATAATATATAATAAATAATAGATAATCTAGCAACGATAGCGATGGACAAATACTGCACAAAAACTAATATACTCTCTCTATACTCTCTATAATTATGATAAAGCGTTAAAGAAATCGAACACAAAGCTAAGCTAAGCAAAGCGAAAATGTCCAATTTAAAAGCTCTTTGAGAATCGCTAAATATCTTGAAACACACTTAAAACTAATTTCTGCAGCTATATCATTTAAATCTCTATTAAGTGGACTTAGTCTTAGCAGCCTCATCTATTAGTTGTTGCTCCAGTTCGACACAAAGCATTTCTCCAGTGATTATGTTTAAGTATTTCCGCTTATATCTGTTTCTGACTGACTGACAACAACAACAACAACAACAGCAGCAGCAGCAAGGGCCATAAAAGGTCAATTTCACAGCTGAACAAACGTGTTTTTATCTTGGTTTTGTATGCTCGCTCAAAAAATGAAGAGAGTATATTAGTTTAAGACAATTGCTTGAATTCAAAGCTGCAAAAATGTTAAGTTAGAATCTAAGCCTATTTGAGTGTAAGCATTATTACTTTGTTAAGATATTTATTTATGTCTCAGCGAGCCTTGGCAGGTCCAAAATAACTGTGTAGAGTTTTAGAGTCCCAGCTCTCTGTCTTTATCAAGCAGTGCATTCAGAAGTAAAAGGTTTTTTAAAGAAAGATCCAAGGTCTTTATTCTATTAATATAAATATTGTTAAAATAAGTTAAGCTTGCTTTGCAGCGTATTGAACGCGTATTGTGCAGTCAGTTATGCCCGCCTGCAACGTTTTCACTTGTTTTTTGTTTTCTACAGACAAATTGTTAGGTTTTTAAATTTTAGTTAGCGTTTTCAATTGGTTTGCTGTCATGTCTTTGTTTGTACAGTAGAGACAGACTTAGACGAACACGCTTATTTGATATTAACGAAATTTTTTTACTGTAGATTTCTTTTCAATTTGTAATTTTTGTCTATTTTCAAGCTAAAGGTATCTATGAAAGTTGTTTATTAAATGTTTTCAGATTAGCGAATCTCTACTGTAATTGTATTATGTTTCAACCAGCTTTAATGTCGATAGCATTTGATTGCTTGCAACGCATTTCTTTGAACTCGACGACAAGGTCGTTGTTAGATATCGAGTGCAACGTGTTGGCATCTTGATTGAATCTTTGAAGATAGCGGGTTTTTCTTCTTCGTGCTTTAATTTCGAAAAGTCAGGTTTGGGATATGCGAACCGAAGCGTCAGCTTTAAAAAACACGCACTCAGCGTTAATTGTAGAAAAAACGCCCACAAAAAACAAAAAACAGATGAAAATCAAACTTACAAATTTGATATAAAAGAAAACTAAGCGAAAAGTAAACACATAACAAGAAAAATGAGAGATACGAGAGAACCAAAAGAAAAAATAAAATTATAGTGAAATCAAAAACCCCCAAGACCAATAAAAAAAATTAGATAAGAGCGAAAAATTAAAAAAAAAAAAAAAATATATATATATATATATATATATATATATTTTTTTTTTTATTATATCTATATTATTATTATTACCTTATTTTTTTCCTTTTTTCATATATCTGTGAATAAATTTAATATATATATATATATATATATATATATATATATATATATATATATATATATATATATATATATATATAGGAAAAAAATAAGCTTTATAATAAAAAATGGTCGAAGTAAATTTAAGGCAAGTAAAAAAGGTAATAATAATAATATAGAAATCAATAAAAAGAAATATAGAAAAATGTTTATTAAAAAATGTAATATTAGAGAGAAAACAAAAAAAAAAACAAAAACAGCGGTGAAATAGATTAAAATTAAAAATAAACATAATACAAATAATAATAAAAAAAAAAATAAATAAAATATGAAGCAACAAAACATTAAGAAAACATAAATAGAAAAATTTACAAGCCCACGGCTCACTCTCTCTCTCTCCCTTTCTCTCTCTCGCAGAACTCTGCCAGTCTCTCGCTCTCTTTCACTCCGCCGCCTAGCTTTATCAAAAAACAACACTTTTGTAGTTGCTTCTGATAAGAGGCAATCGAGCAAATTGACAGCCTCAGCGAAAAAATGTAAATAATTTCAACATGTCTGGCAATTTATATATATTATTTACCTGTTTTAACGCTGATTTGGCGATATTACACAAACAATTTTCCAACCAAGTACCGTGCTTAATTAAACAAATTGTTAATAAAAACAAACAAAAACAATAACAATCAAAAAGAAAAAAAACCAAAGTTCAATTTTGAGCGAAGAGCAACGCGTGTTGCCAACGACAAAATGCAACTGAAAATGTGGAAAATGCTTTTGTTGAAGATGGAAAAACAGTTTAAAGCTGCCGTTGCGGCTGCGACGGTGGCAGTTGCTGCCACAGGTAGAGCGAGACAGAAAATGGAGTAGCAAATAGTAAAAATGTTGCAATCGAGCGAGTGAGCGACGAGCCCAACGGATGGCATTTTAAAATGTTAAACTAGGTGAAAGGCAATTGCTAATTAATTGACCCAAAGTACAATTGTTTTTTCACTTACTCTATTAAGGCGTTTCACATGGCATTTACATTTTTATGGGCTAGCCGAAGAAGTTGGCGCCATAGTTAGCATTTAGCCAAGCGGAACGCATTGCAATGGTTTTAAGCTGCATTTGTTGTGTCCTCTTTTAAACATTCAAGCATGCCAAACAGCTAATCTATAAACAAATATACACGTATACTAAATTTTTATTACACTTTTTTAAAATTCACTCAAATTTATCCCCATTTCTTTTAACTATCGCTATCGCTATCGGTATCGCATTCGATAAATGCAGCTGGTCACACTACTCAGTCAGCTGTTTGAACAGCGTTGCCCTCATCACTGTTATCGATAAGTCAACTATTACTTGCACTTTGCCGACGCTGACTGTCAAAAAACGAAAAGGAAAATCAAGAACTGCTTTGTGTTTGTTGTTGCTGCCAGCAAAATTCTACTTCAAAAACATAAACTTCACATTGTTCACGTTATTTAAATACCCACAAGGTTAGTGAGACTACTTACACAGTAGCTTAACTTCGTCCTGCTCACAGCTAATGAATTTATTTTACAGTTGAATCATGGATCGTTTGCTACGTTTAGGAGGCGCTATGCCACAAGCTGCACCACCAACAGATGCGCCCGTCGTGGACACCGCGGAGCAGGTGTACATATCATCTCTAGCGCTCTTGAAGATGCTCAAGCACGGTCGCGCTGGTGTGCCCATGGAGGTGATGGGATTGATGTTGGGCGAGTTCGTCGATGATTACACGGTGCAGGTTATCGATGTGTTTGCTATGCCACAGACAGGCACAGGAGTCAGTGTGGAAGCAGTCGATCCCGTCTTTCAAGCCAAAATGTTGGACATGTTAAAGCAGACTGGTCGACCCGAAATGGTTGTCGGCTGGTATCACTCGCATCCGGGCTTTGGCTGCTGGTTATCCGGCGTGGATATCAATACGCAGCAATCCTTCGAAGCCCTATCCGAACGCGCCGTTGCTGTTGTCGTTGATCCCATACAGTCGGTCAAAGGTAAAGTGGTTATCGATGCCTTCCGCCTAATCAATCCGAATATGTTGGTGCTCGGACAGGAGCCCAGGCAAACCACCTCGAATTTAGGTCATTTGCAGAAACCATCGGTGCAGGCACTGATCCATGGCCTGAATCGTCATTATTATTCCATCAGCATTAACTATCGCAAAAATGAGCTTGAACAGAAAATGCTCTTGAATTTGCACAAAAAGTCCTGGAAAGATGGACTAACACTGGCCGACTACAATGAACACTGTTCCATCAATGAAGATACAGTCGCTGAAATGCTTGATCTAGCCAAGAACTATAACAAGGTGAGCAATACATTAACGTTTTTAAACAATTTGGTTTTCACATAACGCACTATGTATACTCTTTCCAAACTCCACATTTTGTTGGCAGCTTTGCCATTTAATATTTTTTTGCCAGGTGGCAACTCTTGAGGTAGCAACAAATATTCTTTGCAGCCCTTTAAAAATCGCGAAAGTTCTGAATATTGTTCCTTTGAACTAGTTTTTTTCAATGCACTAAAATTGAGCCTGTTTTGTTTTGATTTTTACATATAGTTTGCATGCTATGTAGCTCGAGAGACTAGGCGTTCTTACATATTTTAAAATCAAAGCTAGGAATTTTAATAGACTTAGTTAAATTATCTTAGAAGTCAATTTTTAGGTCAGCCATAGATTATTTTTAATGAACTAAAAATTAACTTGGTTTTCATATATGATCAAAAATTTTATGTAATTATTTCTCATATATAGTATCTGTCCATATCATAACATAAAGGTATACAACTTTTTTAATTTTTATAAACTGTTTCTATTATTATGACGACCATAGTATAGTAGTAAATATACATATGCCCGATCTTATACCAAACACGTTCCTCATATTTTTCTCGAATTTCTCCATTTTTCCAGTCACTCGAGGACGAAGAGAAAATGACGCCGGAACAGCTGGCGATTAAGAATGTGGGCAAACAGGACCCGAAACGGCATTTGGAGGAGAAAGTTGATACGGTTATGCAGAATAATATTGTACAGTGCTTAGGAGCTATGTTGGACACCATTGTCTTTAAATAAAAAAATTGCATTTGCTGTTCTAAAGCATAAAAACAACCCTCAAATAGAAATCATACCCATACTAAGAACTCGAGTATAATAAAATAAAAACAAAAACTGCTTTTTTCATTTGGATCTAAGTTTTACACAGAAAACAAAAATGTATTTTTATTGGAGCGACAAATTTTGCATGCGACAAATTACGAATTATGAATTACTTATATTTTAAGTATAATAAATCTTATGAAACTTAAGGCTAAGCAGACACAGCAGCTGCGACGCCGACGTCGACGCCTTTGTTGTTTGTAAACAGCCGCAGCAGATGCGTTCAACAGCGACGTCGACGTTGTCTTTGTTGTTAGCAGCGACAGCAACTGCGACGCTTTTCTAATTAAAGATGGCGACCATGCCATTTAGGCGCGCTCGCCACGGATGCGTCTGGCCAATTGAATGTCCTTGGGCATAATAGTAACACGTTTGGCATGAATGGCGCACAAATTGGTGTCTTCGAACAGACCAACCAAATAGGCTTCAGATGCTTCCTGCAATAGCAACGTGTTAAAAAACCTCATTACATTATGACACAAAATGGGGTCTGCACTATAAGCAACCCCCACTCCCCTTAGAAAACATAATTTTTTCCACTTCCCGCCAATTTACCTGCAATGCGCCGATAGCCGCCGACTGAAAACGCAAATCGGTCTTGAAATCTTGTGCAATTTCACGCACTAATCGCTGGAAAGGCAACTTGCGGATGAGAAGTTCCGTAGACTTTTGGTAGCGACGAATTTCTCTCAATGCCACGGTACCAGGGCGATAGCGATGAGGCTTCTTAACTCCACCAGTGGATGGCGCTGATTTACGAGCCGCCTTGGTGGCCAATTGTTTACGGGGCGCTTTACCACCCGTCGATTTGCGAGCTGTTTGCTTGGTACGTGCCATTATTTAAAGTGGAAAGTTCCTTTTTTCACTAGTTTGATCAATTAGAGCACTTTTGTCACGGATAAAGTGACGTCCGAACTGTACGATAACTTTTCAATGAATGAAATGTGAAGGGGTCGGGCGGAGCCGATACTGCTAGATTATTTTGATTATTCGAGCAGTATCGATAGAGATGGAATAATAAAATAGAAAACTATCGCAACAAATTTTTATCTGAGCATCAATATGCTTTAATAACTTTAATATGTACATACATATATATATATATAAATATATATTTGTTTATATATAAATCATATATATATACTTATATATAAATATATATATGTTTATATATATATATATATATATTAATATATATTTCCAATCTTAGCTTTCTCATTGATGACGCAATAATAATATAAATTCTTTTGTCTTTTTGTCTTTTGTCTACAATTCATAAACATTGTTTGACAAAAGCGCCCATTTCAATAATTTATGTAACATTTTGTATATTCAACACTTGCAGTGTGACTCATGGGTGATTACGTCATTGTAATCTGTACCAACTGTACCTAGCTTTAGCACAATCGTTATTAACTAATATATATCTCATCCCTACTATCGATATTAATCTTCTGTAGAGGTAACATTGCGCTTAATTTAACAATCATCTCTAACTTAAAAGTAGCGGTACTTTCAATTTTTGGTAAATGATTTTTAATTTATTCATAAATTGAAATTAGTTGAGCTTTTTGTTTTTTTTTTCTTTTAAGAATTTACAATGTGCGATTCGGATTATGGTATTTGTCCATATAATAAATCGCATCGTATCGTCCTATTCAGAATGCCCGGTCACATAATAAAGTGTATGCGCAAGTACAAGGGGCCCCCATTGATAATTTGCAAATATAATGCAACCCATCGCATGCCAGCTGAGCAAATGGAACAGCATCTGGAAGAATGTGCAGACTATCAAAAATTTAATGCGTATGAAAATTTACAAAAAGCGCTGGAGGCACGTAAATCGCCGCAACGTGCCTAGTAACCGAAAGCAACATCTTTTGATATAAAAGAAACAGAAAGGAAGTACAATTATAGAAGAGTAATGGTAATTGCTTATCAGTTACGAATATTTGATAAAGGGCTCTTTTTAATTGTTTCAAATATCTAGAAAGGAAACACTATATACAAGAAATAGATTGCCCGTTGCACTTAACCTTTCAGAATAAAACACAAATACTTATATACAGGTTCTAAACATTAAATTAATAACTATTCATAATTATACGATATCCATTTCCAAATCGGTGTCGCCTTGCTCGTCCAGCAGCTTGCGCCTGTCTTCTTTCTCTTTAGTCTTTAATTGAGAGGTGGCATCACTTAGATTTGATAAAGGACGCACCTTGCCGAGATTAACAACCGGGCTTTGAGTATACAAATAGATTGCATATGACACGACAGCAATTGCCAATGCTGTATTCATATATATGGGAATTGCGAACAGGAAGTAGCAGAGCACAGCCGTGAATAACAGCTCCAAGGCGCTGGCAAATGTTTTAAGTATTGAATTCATGTACTTTAAAAAGAAACTAGTCACAATGCCAATGGCGGCATTATTGACAATAATAATTATAACACCAAATCGTGCAATGCTACTCAAGTTCTTGGCACTAAATGCATCCAACAATTCCCCTCGTAGCAGCAATATCAATGCATTGCAAACAATCGAGTCCATGTACATAAAGACGTTTTGCACGAAAATGTTAACATCAGCGCCTTTGTCCTTCAAAAGATATTCGTTGTAAACACCTGCTAAGCATGAGCAAATCGTTTGGGCTAAGATTAAGACGGCACTTATGCTAAAATCGAAGCCCGCCATATTTTTGCCATTCGCCTTGGAATTTGTTTGCGTGGCATTCACAGCGCTCGCTACCTGCAGTACCGCCGCTTCACTATCGTCATTTGCATCATTGTAGAAGCTGTTCAAATCCACCTGCTTTAGCATGCAGCCGAGTGTAAGAAGGATTAATGAAATCCATTGACGTTGTGATAGGTACTTCTTGAATATGATTTGAAACAGGATTCCCGTGACTACAACTCGTAATTGAAGCAACAGATAATATGTAGTTGGATCAAATGTCGCGAGATTCACAAAAGCTAAATTATTGTATAAGCAATATAGAAAAGCTGGCACCATGTAGAGCCCTAACACATTGCGATCTTTATGAACATCGCGTACCAGCGACCGAAGATTGTTGCTATGGAATTATAAAAAGCTTAATTAGTTATTAATCGTAAGTAATTGTTCAGACTCACTCTTTGCAATAAAGGCAAGTGGAAACAATTAGCTTAAAGACTTCAGTCAGTAACACCACAGTCACTGTATTATAGCTGTAAGAATTATTTGAATCCTGCGAAGCGGTCACAAAAATGCCTACGATATATAATGACATTATAATGATTGTAATAATTTACATTTAAATATATGTGTTCACCTTGGCCAATAAATAATGACATATACAGCAGAAATATAATGAAGGTAAGTTTTGTGGGAAACAATTCACGCCAATTCGTCGTCATTTTGTGAGCTGCTGCTAGACTATTTCGACTATTCAGCTCATGCAATCAGTTTTTTTTGCTTGTTTCCTCCTAAATTCTGACACGTTTAGATAAACAAAATTGTTTTTTTTTTTCTACAAATTTTTTGATATCGCAGTCGGCGAATCAGCTGTTTAGTAACAGTGTTGCAAAATTACCCGATATAGACGGGTGTTGTACAACTTAGTTTTTCTATCTGCGTGTGTGCGTGCGGCCAACTTCAAGCCTTTTCTTCTTCGTCGTCGTCAAAATGGCAAACCGCGGTGGTCGTCATGCTCGCAATGAGGATTCAGAAAATACCATCAATTATGTTCAATGCGATGGTCTGGTAAGTTAAATATAAATATAAATTTAAGGAGGCACGCATAGGCTTAAGATCAGTGCAGTAGCAGGGTGTGGAAAAAAGCTTGCAATGCCACGCGCTGTGCCTGTTGTTTGTTTGCGTGTGTGTGTGAACGTGACTGAGAGAACGAGAGAATGCATTGAAAATTGCTAAGAGAGCGCCGCTGCCGCCTTAATTCGAACAAAATAATGAATTAAAATTAATCATTAATTCTTTTTAGGCAGTAATGAAAATGGTTAAGCATTGCCATGAGGAGTCGAGCAATATGGATTTGGCTCAAGGCGCTTTACTTGGTCTAGTTGTGGATAAGTGCCTGGAAATCACGAACTGCTTTCCTTTTCCCAAGAGTGGAGATGAGACCATGGACGAGGAGATGTACCAGCTAACTGTGATGCGTCGGCTGCGTCGCGTCAATGTCGATCACTTGCATGTGGGCTGGTATCAGAGCTCCGATGTGGGCAATAGCCTGTCTTTGGCTCTGCTCGAATCGCAATATCACTACCAGACCAGCATCGAGGAATCTGTCGTGGTTGTCTACGATACACAGAAGTCTTCGCGTGGTTTCCTTTGCTTGAAGGCCTATCGCCTGACACCGCAGGCCATTCAAATGTATAAAGATGGTGACTTCACACCTGAGGCATTCCGCACCCTAAAAGTGGGTTATGAGAGTCTCTTTGCTGAGATACCAATTGTCATTAAGAACTCGCCGTTGACCAACATTATGATGAGCGAACTGAATGAACTACTGCCGGAGGATAAGGGACACAACTTCCTGGACTTGGGCACCGCCTCAGTGCTGGAGAATCACATGCGCAGCCTAATCGAACGCGTGGACGAGCTCTACCAGGAAGCTGTGCGCTACAATAAGTATCAGCAGGTGGTCTTCAAGCAGGATACGGTAAGCTGTTGCTTTTCATGTTTTCTTTTTAAATTTTACTAAAAATTTTTATTAACTAGGAAAAACATCGCGCTCTGGCTAAGTTAGCTGCTGAGAACGCTGTGCGCACCTCGAAGGGTGAACCCACTGTACCAGAGGAGGAGGTCATTAAACAATTCCGACCCATGCCTGTGCCGGCTCGGTTAACGGCCACAATTACATCTGGTCAAATCAATACGCATGCTCAGCATATTGCACAATTTTGCTCTCAATCGCTGGCTAAACTTTTCATCACCGAGTCGCTGCAGAATGCCAAGGAAACCAAGCAGATCAAATAGTTTAGTTTATTTTACAAATCGAGTCTTTGTCTGTGTAGAGGCAACAAATAATAAAAGCCCAAACATTTTTAAGCTGTGTGTAAATACAACAACGCATAGTTGACCGAACTCTTTGTCCCATGGTAAATGTTCTATTTTTTTTTGCAACTCTCTTTGATGCGATTGGTTTGTCGTTAATAGTGTTGGCAACTCTAAAGGCTCTAAGAAGCTAGGCTAACATGTTAAAAAAGCTAGAAAATGCTGAAGATTTTTATCCTTGAGTCCAATAAAAGTACGACTAGATAAATAAAATAGAAACTAGACTAGACTAAAGAAAATATGGAATTTTGCCCGTAGTGTTATCAAAGATAATATAACAAGTTCATTCATTGAATTAATGCAGCAATGCACAACTGGACGAAGTGTCACCTCTAGTGCTCTCTTAAATCTTATTGTGCTCTCTGATTGGTTGGTTGTAAGTGCAACAATGCACAGCTGAGCAATCTCTTATCTCTGTTCTACTCTCTTTATTTTTAGTTCTCTCGCTCTCTCTGCTTGGGGGTGGTAGTTTTTCTTTTGTATGGTCAGCTCTGTGGCTGCGTCGTTGTTTCTTTTCAGTCTCCTTTCGGGTGCTTTTCCGTGCAGTGTTTCCACATTATATTTTATCTCTATTTACTATTTGCAACCGCTTCGATTGGTTTGTTTTCCATTTTTTTGACAAATGATAAGATGCTTTCCTATGATCTCAACGAGCGTTTACTAAGCGCCGTGCACAGCGGCGACTTTGGCCAGGCCTTGGATTGTATTCTGGAAGGCGCCCAGGCCACCTACGTCTCGGCCACATGTGGGCGCACAGCTGTGGGCACGGCCGCTCTGCTGGGCGATGCTGAGCTTCTCGAGCTGCTCGTTCAATCCTGCGAGGAGCCGCAACTCAATGTCTACCATCAAAGTAAGTTCAAGCTGCAGACACAAAGCCATTGGCATTCACGGGCAACAGCTGGTCGCAGAAAATCAATTTTGGGGTAGTTCGGCAGCTGTGTCTTCCCTATTCCTAAATTCTTTGCTAGCATATTTTTATGTAGCAAATATAATATAATATATTTTATTAGATATTTGAAATCTTTTGTTATATATTTTAATTTTATATAGTTTTTATAACTTTTAAAATATCTAATTGATTTATATGTCCATATCTGTATAGAATATTTGCAATTTAATGTATATATAGTATTTATGTAATATTAGTATATATACTATTTATTTTTAAGCTTTCGTGTCTTTAACGTTAAAAATATTTTTATTTTTTGATTTATATTTTTATTATTAAATGAAAATAAATTTAAAAATATTATGCGGGCTGTCCATATTTGAGATGATAAGGATAGTTAATAATCCAGCCGCCCGTATAATATCAAACCCGTATAATATCAGAGAAAAAATATAAAATTTTCAACAATTTTTTACATTTTTCAAAATAAGATATGTGGAAACTTTTTTCTTAAATTTTTTAAATTTTTAATTTTTTCTATATAAAGTAATTGTATATCTTAATAATAGATTAAGGCATAAATGTATATTGGTCTAGATTTCGCTTCTAATTATTTTTTTTAAATTTCAAAAAACTTATTTAATTTCAAGTAAACTAAATTTCATTTCAACTAAAAAATATATTGAAATTATACATAAAATATGAAACTGAATTAAAAATTGTTGAATTTAAATAAGTTTTTCTAGCAGTGCATTCAATATCAGTGACCCAAATGCATTTTGAAAACAGAAAAAAAAGAGAAACAAAAAAGAAGAAGAACAATTATCTAGAATGGAACAAGGGGCAGTGAGGGGGCGGGGGTTTGAGGTCAGAGAGAACCGGCTGAAGGTGTTGCTCACTGATGATAAGCCAACGCAATGAAAAATGCACTTGTTTAGTTTTCTCGCTTTTCTTTTGACTGTCAAAGACGCAGTCAGGTAGTCGATCGTTAACGGTCAAAGGTGAGCGAAGTGAGAAATTTATAGTTGAGAAAAATAGTAAAACAATATGGTTTATATAAATATTATTAACTAAAAGAAACATAAAAATAATATTATTTACAAATGTTCAGAAGCTAGAATCTAGCTAAAATAATTCCAGATTGTGTCATAAAAAATAATCTAAAAGTGAAAAAAAGGTATTTTTTAATTTGGAATTTCTAACGTCTGTTGAATGAACAGCTGCTATACAGCTCCTCTCTTCGCCACTCTTCGCCCCTCTTCGCTCCTCTTCTTGCTCCTCATTTCTCTCATTGGGTCTCTTCTCGGTCCTCTCTTCGTCTTTCTTCTCGCTCCATCTTCTGCTTCCGATAGAGCGGCAAGAGGGGCAAAGAGCGTCTATTCCTGAACCATATTTCTATGAACAAATCAATTAAAGTAATTAATGCGTTTTGGTTACTGTAGAATTAGTATTTCCAAATGTCATAGTTAGTTAGAGAATCTTAAAAAGTGATGGGAAAATTGTAGTTTCTAATGCGAATTTCGCCTGTCTCTTTTAGTTTCTATTGGTTTTCTTGGCCTGTTATTGCACTTATGAAATAATGATTATTAATTAATATATATTAATTAATTAATTTTAAGCTCTTAAGAGTTTTCTTAATTATTTTTTAATACAGTAATTCAATTTGTTAATATAATTAGTAATTATTATTTAAAAAATTTATATTTTTGAAATTATTCTAATATTTTTTAAATTGAACAGTCATTAATAATTGAAATATTTTAAGTATATGTAATTAATTCTTCGTTACTGTTAGTCATAAATTCCAATTCTAAAAATAATTTTTATTTTTTATAATTATTATTATTAATTATTATTATAATTATTAATTAATAGAGCAAATGAAATTATTGATATAATTTCCAATTCGTTTTTTTAGTTCTTAAAAAATAATATTTCGAAGTAATCTTAATTACTTATCAGATTTTTTAGTATTACCCTTAAAACCTGTTAAATCTTTTTTGAATTCATTGTTAAAGTATTTTAAATAATTATTAATTGTTAAGTAAAAAATTTATATTCTTTAAATAATTTATATAAAAAATAAAAAAGAAATAATCTTTTTGTCTTTCCAGCCCATGCCGATGCTCTGGAGATAGACATTACGCCCGAGGGCATGGAGAAACTTGAATGGGTGGACGAGTTTGAAGGCGAAAGCTGGAGCTCGGAGAATACAGAAGGGGGCGGAGGAGGCGGTGGTGGTGGGGCAGTGGCCGGCGAGGATTCGCAATTATATCACTACTATGCGAAGACCTTTGAGAATACGGGAGAGTTCCTGACGCAATGCTGCGCCAGTTGCCGTGAACAGGATCCACATATCTATGATTCGGATTTGGTGACGCCGCTGCACTATGCCGCCGCCTGGGGTCATGTGGAATGCGTTGCTGTGCTGCTCAAGCACCAGGCGCCCATCAATGTGGTCAATAGCGAGGGCTACACGCCGCTGCATGTGGGCGCCGGCAACGTGGAGGTCACTCGCCAGCTGATCCAGCATGGCGCTTTGGTCAACTCGAAGACGCTGAGCGATGGCAAGACAGCGCTGCACTTGGCCATCGAGAACCGATGCAGCGAGGCGGCTCGACTGCTGCTGCAGACGAACATCAATTTCAACGAAACGGACGACGAGGGCGAGACGCCTTTGATGCTGGCCATTGCTTGCAATCTTTTGGAGCTGGCCACAGAGCTGATCGAGCGTGGAGCGCGCGTCAACCTGCAAGACAAGGAGGGATATACGGCACTGTACTTCGCAGCCATCGGCCGGCATCGGCAGCTGGCGAAACTCCTGCTGGAGCGTGGCGCACGACGGCTGCCAGGTCATCATCTGCTGCATCAGTGCCTCGGCCCGGATGCCGAGGACCGGGCCATGGTCGAGCTGCTGCTGCAGCATGGCGAAAGCCTGAGTGTCAGGGATGGCGATAATCTGACTCCCATCATGCGTGCCATATACCAACAGCTGCCGGAGCTGCTTGAGTACCTGCTGGATCAGGCAGACCAGCAGCGCCTGCTCGGCCTCTACACGGATGCCCAGGATGTGGGCCTGCTCCTGTTCGCTGTGCAGCAAATCGAAGAGCTGTCCGCATTTCGTCGGATTCTGCGTGTTCTGCTCGCCAAGCTGCCCAGCGCTCGCAGGGATCTGTATAGCTACCAGGCGCCAACGGTCGTCTGCGGCTTCGTCTACAGCGAAACGCCCTTGGCTCGTGCCATCAGCCTGCAGCGCCTGGACATAGCTCAGCTGCTGTTGCGAGAGGGCTGCAATCTCTCGCAGATCTCGTGCGAACATGTTCTCAACGAGCTCCGGTCGCATTGCACTCATCAGAGCTTGGCATTTGCTGAACTTTTGGGTATGTTTCAATTCCATTTCATACATTTTATGGAATATCAATTCTTGAACATTGCAGGGAGTTCTTTTTCCACTTGCTTAGTTTTCACTTGTATTTCATTGATTGCGTTTCACATTGCCATTTGTTCCACTTTTTCCCACTCGTTCCACACTTCAAATTTACACTACTTAAAATATTTCGCACTTTCAACTTGTTCCACTTATCATTCACTTCAGATTTGTAGCTGTTCCATATTCCACTTGTTTCACTCTTTACGATTCAGCATTATTTCAGCAGTTTCACATTTTGAGATTCGTTTCATTTACCAACTTAAAGTTGTTCAATTTTTAAATGTTCCGCTTCACAAACCTTAATCTTTTCAATCATTTCACATTTCAGATTTGTTTTATGTTTCAATTCTCTTTCAATATATGGAGTCGTTCCATTATCACCACTCGTTCCACATGCCAATTGTATCAACTGTTTTCTCTAACTTTTCTCACTTCCACTTGCATTTGAAGACCCTTTCAAAGTTTTCCCTCATTCCATTTGTAACTCTTCTCATTTCCAACTCTCCATCTACTTCTCTTCCCATTTCCACTATATAAAGCTTCGACTCTAAACTCTTTACCAGTTTAACTATTCCCATTTTCCATCGATTTCTTCTTACAGTTAAACTGTTCCCATTCTCTTTCAACATCTCAGTTTTCTCCATTCCATTTCTACTTCCACATTTGAACTCTTTCCATTTCTAACTTCTTTCTTCTTTTCAGGACACGTTGGCATCAAGTTCTCCCCGCCCACCGAATCGAGTGACACTTCCCAGCCAGCCACGCCCGCACGCTTAGCCTTCGACCAGAACATGCGTCAGCTGAGCACACAGCCACGTTCGCTGCAGTCGCTCGCCCGCCAGGTGATACGCCAGCAATTGTTGCAAGCGCTGCAGGCCAACGCCCAGCTGCACGCGCAGCATCCACCAACGAACGAGAGCTCCACGTTGGCACGCATCGTCGACGAGCAGCTGTGCATGCCGCAAACGTTGAAAAGATATCTCAGCGAATTTTCCGATGTGCCGGCATTGCGAGGAGCCCATTTAACTAGTCAAATAATACGATCAGCTGAATCGTGGGATTAACATCGAGTATCTTGTGCAATTTGCAGTATTTATTTAAGTTATTTATATTTATAAATACATAGAATATGTTTAGCATAGGTATGTAAAGTTTGTATATTGCCCGTTAGTGTAGTGTATGCAAAAACGTAGGGTATTTACTTTTAGTGTGTAGGCACATATATATATATATATCTAATCATCTATATATAGAAACTCACAATATATAATTGCGATCAAACACTTTTTGCTCTTTACATTTTTTTTTTTTTTTTTTTTTTTTTTAGGCAATATATTTATTTCTTTATTTTGTTGCAGCTTATTGTCTTAGACTCTATAGCGCATTTAGCTCTAAACCTTAACTAATGGGAGGGCAGATATGCCAATTATTCTGCACTTGTAGCTACTATCTTAATTAGTTCTAATATTGTCTAGAGGATGCAATCTCTTCAGTCTTCGCCTATTGTTGTTTATAGCCAGGTTGCTTGCGAGATGGTTAGGATGCGCTGCAAGTCTGTCCGCGTATCTTGAACTGTGTCGCCCAATGAGTTCAGCAACTGTGGGAATTGCTAAATCCCTATGTAAGACTGAGTTTCTTACAAACCAGCTGGCTCCAGTCCATCTGCGTAGTGCTTTATTCTGCAGGGTCTGAATTTTGTTCCTTGTAGTCTTCGCCGAGGAGCCCCATAGAGAGATACCATATACGAAGGTTGGGACAACTATTGCCTTGTAGATGGCGGCCTTGCTGCTGTAAGACAACTTGCTTGAAGCTCTCAGCATCCAGTCGAGGGTTTTTAGCTTGCTTTTGCATTTTGAGGTTACTTGACTTATGTGCGCTTTAAAAGTCAGCCTTCTGTCAAGAGTGATACCAAGGTACTTTACTTTTGAGGCTTTGGGAATAGTGGGCCCCAATGCAACGCTTGGGCAATCTCCTCTTCTAGTGGCGAAGGTAGTATGTACAGACTTTTGTGCATTAATGGTGATACACCACCGTTTTGCCCAGCGTCCGAAAGAGTCCAGATATTTTTGTAGTGAGTCTGAAGCTTCTTGCGCAGATACGTGACGTGATAAGATGGCGGTGTCATCTGCATAGGTCGCTATGAGTACTGCATCTGTACTTCCTATATTTGGCTCGGGAGTTGGCATATCTCCTGTGAATAAAGTATAAAGTGTTGGGCCTAGAACACTACCCTGTGGTACTCCAGCCATAATTGGTCTAGTCAAGGATACTGTTTGCCCCCTTGACACTTGGAAGGTTCTTCCAATAAGGTATGAGGATAGCAACGCGAAAAATGGGGCTGGAAGGGTGGTCCTCACTTTCTGCAGCAGTCCCAGGTGCCAAACTCGATCAAACGCCTGTTTGATGTCTAAAAAGACGGCAGAGCAGTACATCTTTTCTTCAAAGGCTCCAAGGATATGGTGCACAACTCTGTGAACCTGTTCCGGTGTTCCATGCTGTCTCCTGAAGCCAAACTGATGGTTTGGAATGGCCTCCTGGCGTCCCAGATGTGTCAGTACTCGTTCCAGAAATATTCTTTCGAATATTTTGGAGAGTACTGGCAACAGGCTAATTGGTCTGTACGACTCAATTTCTCCCACGGGTTTGCCAGGCTTAGGAATCATCACAATCACGGCGCGCTTCCAGCAGGCTGGAAAGTGCCGGATGCGGAGCATGGCGTTGTACACCATAGTTATGTAGTCTATGGTGGAGTCAGGCAGTGCTCTAAGGACTCTGCCGTTTATTAGATCATATCCAGGGGATTTTTTTGCCTTCACTCTTCTGATGTGTTCAAGAACCTCTTCTTTTGTACATCCAGTTATCTGGTCTTCAGCTGGGAGGGGCGAGAGAACGATGTCTTCTGTTGCTTCGATTTCTGAGGCCTCTGCGGTAATCACCGGCGTGAATTGGTCTTGAAGGTGGTTTGCAAAAGCCTCAGCTTGAGCTTCGTCTCCAATGTGCCAGGAACCAGAAATGCTCCGAATGTGATGACGTCGTATTGGCTGCCGTTTGAGCTTTCTTGTAAATTTCCATAATTGAAACTCTGCGTCAGTGGGCGATTCAGCTCGTACCAGCGCATCGCTGATACACCTCTTTTGAAGCAGGGCGAGAGCAGCTTTAAGATGCCTCGTGGCTTCGTTGTACATGGATTTGGCATCAGGCGTGCGTAATCTTAACCAGCGTCTCCTGGCCCATCTTTTGTGTATTAGTAGGTGTTGGGCCTCCAAGGTGAGGGGGATGTTGTACGGAGACTGTTGTCTTGTTTGGCAAGATGGTGGGGCGGCTTGGTGCGCAGCTTTGACTATTTCTTCCTGCAGTTTGTTTGCTGCGTAGTCCACGTCTTCAGGAGTGTTAAGTTCCATTTCTATGTGCAAAGAGTAATGGAGCTCGCGCCTAAAGACTCCTAAATCTGATCCTGCTGGCAGTAGTTGTTTCCTAATGGGCAAGGGCTGTGGCTGCGCGTGGATTGTGACTATTAGTGGCAGGTGGTCAGAGGATAGGTCCAAGGATTCTTCAATGGTCAATTGCCGGTCACAGATGCCTTTGTAGACAGCGAAGTCGATTGCCGAGGGCCTGTGTCCATTAATTGGGTAACGGGTGGGGGCTCCAGTCGCCAATATGCTGAATTGTAAGTTTTGAATCGCCTCAAATATGACTTCTCCGCGACGATTCGCACTATTGCTTCCCCAAAATGGGTGCCATCCATTCCAGTCGCCGCCGATGAGGGTCTTATTCAACCTTTGGCCTAGAACCTGTTCCATGTGATGATCACACAGACCAGTGTTTGGCGGAAGATAAATTGACGCAACTTCGATCGCTCCAATAGACGTAGGCAGGGTGATGGCTGAGACCTGCATTGTTGCGTTGCAAATTGGCAGTAAAGGTGTATGCGGTATTGTTGCTCGTATGAGGATTGAGGATCCACCAAAGCAGTTTGCTCCTTCACCATGAGCCTGATAGTGTTCGTATCCGAAAATTTGTGTAGTGGGGCACTCATGAGTTTCTGTTATTAACATTATATCTATGTTTTCTTGTGAGAGAAACGCAGCCAGTTCCTGAGTCTTGTTTCTCAGGCCATTGGCGTTCCAGATACCCACACGTAAAGCCATTATTTGTAGGCAAGCTTGGTTATGATGGCCATTAAACTGTTTAGCATGGTTGCTTGTTGGGATTGTACTTCTCGCATCGCTTTGAGCTCGGCATTAATTGCGTCAAACTGACGTTGTTGTTGCTGAAGCATTTCAGTGAACAAAGTGTCACTTGTGGTATTCTTATTTGACGGTCCACCTCTAGCGGCCTGTGCGTAAGAAACACCACTAATAGGCGTTGCAAAGCTCGTGGCTTGGGTAATGCTCCGGGGCCTTGTAATTTCGGAAGCAGTACTCGGACCCGTAGACGGTGTTTGTGTGGGACTCCTTTTTTGTGCTGGGGATTGCAATTTGCGCAACCGCTTGTATACTTGGCAGCCCTTATAGTTGGCTGGGTGCTGTAACTCACAGTGCACACAAGTTGGTGCCTGGTCCTTTTCGCGGGTGCAGTCTTTGGATGCGTGTTTCCCGGCGCAACGCACACATCTGGGAGCTTTGTGGCAGTAGCGTTGTGTGTGTCCAAATTCTTGACAGCGATGGCATTGTGTCAGGTCGTTGTATCTTCTTGGCAGTTCCACTGTGCAGCGTTGCCTGCAGACAACTCGAATGTCCAAAATTTCTTTGTTGTTGGGGGCCTGAGCCACGTCAACAAAAAATATATTTAGCGGTGTTTTGTCCATACGGCTCAGTGGGTTGTGCACATTTGTAATTGTGTGGCCTTTGGTTTCCAATTCCTTTTTAATTAGTGTTGTATCAGTGCTGGAGTGAAGCCCTTTGAACACGACTCTATATGGTTTGTCCTCCTTAAGCTGGTAGCAGTGGAACTCCAATTCCAGCTTAGTAAAGTGGTCTATAACTCTGCGATAGTCCTCACTGCATTGGGTTAATACACCTATGTTATTCTTCTTTGGCTTAATTACGTATGATTTAGCATCAATTACTTTATCTATTATCTGTTGAAGTAGGGCCACAGACTTGATGTTTGGACACCATATGGGGGGCGGACGAGGTTTCGGAGTAGTTTGCTGGTCGGTCAATACTGGGGCTTCTGGAGCTACAGGTGATTCGCTGTAGTCTTCATCTTCTTCTACGAGCAGTGAAAATCGATTTTCTGATATTAATGCTGCATTGCTGGTGCTTGGTTCGTCGAAGATGAGCCTTTTCTTGATGGTTTTTGGTGAATTTGGCTGTTTACGTTTCGTGTTTTTGTTGTTAGTGATGCCTTGCACGGAGGCGATATCTATTTTTGAGTTTATTGGCATGATGGAGGCTTGCCTATTTGCCATCACAACGTTAAGCTGGGCTTGCATTTCTGCATTTACCTTTACAGCTGTAGCGAGGTTATTGACATTAGATGTCATCGCGGATTGTGCTTTTGAGTGCAGGCGCACTCGCGCCAAGCGACGAAATTTCGTAAATTGCAATTAAAGCAATTGAGTTACGCGGAAGCAAGCGATAAGAAAACGCTGCGTGTGCGGTTTTTGTTGCTGTTGCGTTGAAGAATGCACCGCAAAGTTCTATTTTTAGAACTCTGCAGCAGTAGAGCTTAAGCGAAGGCTGTTCGAATTCACGTCTTTACAGGTCGAACGACTGATCGCGATTGTTCTTTACATTAACTTTTTAGACACTTTAAATTGTTACAATTGTTGCATACATATATATATATAAAGTTGTGAAAATTATGAAATATGAAATGAGTTTACTTTCCTTCGAACTTTTCTGTGCTTACACTTTACAGGAAAAAAATATACATACAAAACACTACAAGTGAGAACTAACTGTCATATATATAAATACAGATTTATATATATACATAGAAAGGTAGTTATATTCCTATAAAAGATATGATAACAATTACCATAACAATTTGGGGCACTTATATATAGAGCTACAAAGTTGACTACTCCACAAATTATATTCTTCAGGTTTGGAGCTTC